TCACTAGGTGTAGCAACAGTGTCTTTAGTCTGGGGGATTCAAATCAGTATGTTAATGTGCAATCAGATAACTCAGTGTACCAGATTTTCTTCAAATTTAACTCACAAAGGCTTATTGGAGGTAATGTACACGTATGTTGTGACAGCTTGTTATATTGGTAGCATTCTCTGGCTTGGCAATGGTCCTTTGTATACATGTAGGTTTGGCTAATGACCAGTTTTGATTGTGGTTGGTTTACATTATCATATAAATCAAGTTTGAATGGGCTGCCGATTGGCCTAATTTCATGTGTATTGCTTCCTTTCTTGAGACCAAGCCTGTTTCCTTATCAGGCACAAAATACATGCTGTTCTCACCAAAGTGTATCTGAAAATTTGTGTTAATCAGTTAGTCCACTGTTTTGTGGGTTAAGTGTTAACATAATTTTTTTTTTGGTCATGGCTCATAGCACACAGAAGCATATGATGAGCTTATTTTTCCCCAAACAAAAGCATATTAATTACAGTGTAAGTTCCAGAAGCAAGCCCTCTGCCAAATAACTAGAGTCCATGATGGCACATTTGTAAAACATCTGTCATTACAAGTTACATTTTCTTGTAAGAAGCATGCAACCTCCAATGATGGGGGGGGTCTAAAACAATCTTGTTCCCATCTTAACTGTTGATTGTCCCGTTCTTGTTTTCCTCTGCAGCTCACTGATTACATGTACGATGCAAGATCCGTTGATCACTACACACTGGTCCTATTAGTAGCTGTGCGCTGACTTACTGGCAGCAATGGCCAGTCTCCAGGCATGCCAGGACGACAGTCTGCTCACTGTTTATCAACAGAGGGCGCTAGACCTTCTGCTGAGGCTCAAGCACGAGTTTGATCCTCGGCACCTGGGCGAGGCCTGCAGAGAGCTCACCAGTCTGGTCTTGAAACACTGTAAGTTATTTATTCCAAAGAAGAAGGAACTGCTAACTTTATGTACATGTACAGTGTAGTTTACTTCTGGCTTTTGTGGGGTTTTTGGGGGGGATTACAATATTTGATGGGTTTCGCTACCTATACTGGTATACCGGCATACATACATGTATCTTGCCAGTCAAGGTTATATTCAAATTCATTATGTTGTTATTTTTGTGTGCAGGTTGTATGTACTTGCAGTTTCCATTCAAAAGGCAATTAAATACTGCTAGTTGTCAGAAGATTTTGCATTGCAGTCTTAACATGACCAGAAAACTAGTCTGGCTATTGACACCTTGTTTCAAAAGTTCCATTTTTCCCATTTCTGGAAGTTCTTATGCATTTTTTTAGTCTTACAGGTTTAGAGCAGTGTAAAAAAATCAACTTACCGTATTATCTTATATTTCTTTGAGAACAATTTTTTTAAGAATATTGACAAAATTATCAAGAGCTCAACATTTTGCTGAGAAATGACAAATGACAGATGAATAACTGTATGGGAGTTTTTAATTTAAATGGCTTGCGTCCAGACGTGATGACCTGTATTTTGGACTTGTGATTAAGCTGCAATGACCTGATTACTGTCTCAGTGGAACTCAAAGTGTGTTTTGAAGAAGCAGGTGTAGTGGTTGGTAAACCCGCATTTTGCTTGTACATATATGTACAGTGTAGTTTGAGCACCTCCAAACAGTAGACCTACAGGTCATGCATGCACACATTAATTTATTCCCTTGTTTCTGCTGGTTATTTATGGGTGCAATTATGCTTCTGTCAAAGCTTTGCTCCTTGTTCTATTATGCCATTGTTCATGTGCAATGGCCCGTGCATTGAGTACGGGTAAGTTTATTCCTTACAATCATCTGACTCAAATCTTGACTGTAACCGTCTTTTCAACCTCTGTACACAAGCAGCGTTGCTTTTGTCAATAAACCAACGGATCAGGAAACACAATTGTTGTAATTACGGTATACATGTAGATAAACCTCGGAACTGCACCTGTGTGTTTCACTGAATCCTATTTTTCACTTTTTGCTTTGCTAACTTGGAGTTAAATGTAAGAGCTTTTTTGTGGTTATGCTAATGTGAATTTCCATATTCATGAGCAAAACAGTGATGTCATCCCAGTGTTTCATTGACTAGTACACAAAAACTACTGAATTTTCTGTAACCATATTTTACTGTTGTAAATTTCCTTTTCTTTGGCATTGTTTTGTTTTGACAGCATGGCAATAAGCGAGCAAGCAACTTTTTGTCAGAAATGTTTGTAAAGAGCGCATTTGGGGTTCAAATTGGAACCTGAAAACATGGAAATAGAACAGTGTCTTCCCTTATTTACATGTACATCACAGGAACAGCGCCCTCACTTGTCCAGAAAAGCCTGAACATTTTTAAATGTTTAAAAAAAGTGCACTTTTGAATGCTTTTTACCCTAAACAACAGTTTTCATACATTAGAAAATGGTATAAAATGCACAAAAAGTGAGTTTTAGAAAGATTTAAAGGAAGAAACGGTACATGTAAATGAATGCATACAGTTACCTGCATACTGTACATGTATTGCCAAGAATGTCCTGGAGTTACCTTGAGAAGAGTTGACGGGGGATTGAGAAGAATAATTCATGAAATTGTATAAGGACCAAACATGAATGTAAACATGCAGTAAAACATCTTTTGGCATTTACATGTATGGTCTACCAGCCCATGTACATGTACCGTGCATGGATTCACATAGTGGTTTCATAACCATATACATGTACATGTATATTTCACGATGAAACCATGGAGACAAACTTAGATCACAAAACATGTAATTTATCAGTTTATCAAGCAAAACCATAGTGCTGCTTGCTGATATCGTTTGTATATACATGTATGTATACATGTACATGTATATGGTATGACCATGCATGCTTCACAACACGTGCACAGACACATGGTGTTACATAACAAACCAAACCCAGGCCAACAGTAATCCACATCCAGACAGTAATTTAACTGTATCATTTGCATGATATCAGGGTTTTTAATAGTCTGGATTATAAACTGTATCTACATGTATAATGTACAGTGAACCACTCACTATCGAAGAAGGAACCATTCAGTGCTGACTGTACATGTACATGTGCATGTGCAGTGTTTTCAAAACATTCTGAAGTTTCATGTCTGGTCCTGGGATGTGCTGCACACCTGTACATAGGTATACTATGTTGTAATGTGCATCTCAGGTGAGTTTCATGATACACGTATGCATGGAAATGATGTTTGCAGATTTATGGGTACATACACCTGCACTTTTCTGTAATGAACATTATGAATGTAAGGAATTCTGTGAAAGGACATGTTAGATCATTGTGGTAACTTTTTAGGAAGCAGATGAATGGGCATTCCACATGCAGCTGAAGCTTGGACCTCATGTTCGAACTCTACATGTCATCGTCTACCCGGCACTGGGAACAAGTGTGACTCTGCAGTTTACCGAGCCTGGACATTCAAAGTTAGCTGGAGATAATTCCTAAGCATGCTGTTTCAAGGAGACTAATGGCGCCATTCCACTCCCAGAAAATTCTGATTTAGCTTGTTGGGGACGAGGTGGCAGATTTGAACCTACAGTGTACCGTACGTGTACACGCAGTAGTCCAAAAGATTTGGACTCACTGAGAGCTCTGTAATTAAGCCGAACAGTGAGAGTGGAGTAGTTGGTAGGAGTTTGTTCTTGCATGGTTTTTTTTCTGGACTCGGGGTTTCAATCTGGTTTAAACCCAGCAATGCCTCTGGTGTTGCATGGGAATTACCTCTAGCCAGAAATGGACCCCCTGGAAGCTTGATGACAAATGACAAGACATCTGCAATCTGCACTTACGTGTACAAGCAGGAGGGTCTGGCTTCAGATGACATGGAACTCTGACTTCAAGCTTGTTACTTCTTCATCAAAAGAAAAGCTCAGTTAATCACATGACTTTGATGAAGAGAAAAACTGACGTCAAAAGTGATGTCTCTAACATTGTCTAAGTGAAATGAGACATAAAGTTACTATAGAGCCCCCCAAATGTGTCATCTGTGTCTCGTCAGAAAGGACATGAAGGAAATCCTTAATGACACACATTGGTGAATAGGCATTCCGGCACTTTGTTACCAGAGAAGAACTGCGGTACTGCCAAACTTGTTACTTCCTAGTACACAGATTATTTTCAAACTTTCTGTGGTCTGATCTGTACCCAAGTACATGTACCAGTAGTCATTTTGTCACTGTCGGTTCTAGTGACACAAATTCACAGAACTTTAGCTGTGTCACTCGGTGAGGAAATGATCATCATACTTGTCGGTTCCTTTGTACCTGTGCTAATTTTCTAAATCCAGAGGGACTTTCCAGTGCTGATGTGGTCTTCTTGTGTTTTTCCTGGATCAGTGCGTTTCCTCCAGTGATTTTACCGGTCAGGTACATGTAGGTTTCGATTGAATTCAAGTGCATTCAACAGAGTATAAAATTGGATTCCGATTTGACTTTTCAAACATGAACATGCACTTTGTGCCTTGTAGCAGGTGGAAAGTTTGCAACAAAAAGAACAACCCTTGGAACGGGTAGAGTATTGCTTGCATCTTCTTTCTTCATTTTAATATTCTTCTTGTGTCGTTTTATTTGAGCTAATTCATTGTAGCTGTGTCATTTTGGACAGCCGAATTGATTTAAAACAGGTGAACATACATGTAGATTGGTACTTAAAAATAAATTGGAAACCCTCCAAATTCTTCATGATCCAAACATCTGTAACAGATCCATCCACTTGGGTCAAGTTTCGCACAACTAGTTTTTAACTATTTTGTACCGATGAAACCCATATGTACATGTGTTCATAAATGTAACATCAGTGTACATGTATGGTATGAAATCGTGCTTATAAATATTTCCACATGTCCTTGCGTACAGGCACTCTTCATTTTTTATTATTTAGTAGGTAATGCAAAAAAGTCGTCATGCATGCAGGTTACAAATATGTACATGTACGTACATGTACCGTACATGTACGTAGAGTGCATGTACATGTACATGTATGTAGGACGCACTGAGATGATCAGATGTGTTAGCTTTACTTGTAGCTTGAAGTCTTCACCTGCTGCAAAGACGTTACATGAACCGGTACTTTGCCAAATGCCAAAGTTTTAGTCATGGCCTCTTTACACAAGACTAACAGAAGACCGCTAGTCTGTATTCAGATGAACCACGTTAGCAACAAAAGACTTGTCTTGAGAATGGGCTTGTGTCTGGTCTTATGATGGTTTCAACCAAAGATTATATAGTGCCGCGTAACGGCGCAAGATGGGTAATTCGGCCATAAAGGTGTTACATGTATCACCGGTGGGCGCCATTCGAGTGTGAACGTTAGTGTGTGTGCGTGCCTGTCGCGGTGCCTGCTTCTGTGCATTAACATGCACTGCGCAGGCGTTGTCCAACCAGAATGGCGCCCATGTGATAACAACGTTTTACGTGCATTCACGGTGAAGTTCCCCATCTTGCGCCGCTGCGCAGTGCTACACAATCTTTGGTTTCAACTACCAGATACTCGTGTAGTACTCACTGTAATAGCTTGTACGGTAGATGTACCAATGGCCATACACGTGCCAGTAGCTCTGATAGCGTGCCTGGGATGCCACGCCATACCAACTTGGACTACCATTGACTTGTCCTGCCTCAGTGTACTGGGTGAAAAATTTGATTGGTTTTTTGTTCTGTTTTCCAGCGGACTGTGTGCAGATCCTTGAGGACTATCATGCTCACAGGCCTGTCATGGATATGATGGAGCATCGTACCTACGAAGCAGATATTCAGCAGGTAGGTACAGTACATGTTGTCATGCCAGAAGCAGACCCATACCACTTACAGGTGAAAGAGAGAGCAGTGCTCTGAACTGTTGGCTGTTTACAGTGACACCAGAGTTTAGTTTGATTTGGTTTGTTTTGGTTGGGTTGGGTTGGGGATTTGGTTGGGGTTTGTGCCTTCAGATTCAGGTGGAGGTTGGGTTTTGAGACTTGGGGTTTGGGTTTTGGTATGTGAAAGACCTGGAAAAACCAACACTCAGAATGCATCTCTTGTCCATCGTGAATGTACTTACTAGTAGTTTAAGACTTTGGACTTTGATGCTACACATAGACCTTTTGGTACAGTGTATTTCACTAACAGATTTCTCCCTGAAGAACAACACAAGGCTGGAATGATCATGGCGTATGGATCAGTCTGTACACAGGTCATCTGCCAGTAGAACTGAATGAATTGAAATTGGAAGTGCCATTTCTGACTACAGTCTGTTAACGAAATGGTGTAAAAGGACCCCACCACAAGAAGGGCAATGATGATCCCAACTTTCCCTGAATCTTATCGATCTAAGCTGAGAGCGGCCAGCAAGCGACTTTAATCTGGACCCCTGAAGGTCAAACTGCATGTACCCTGTCATTTCAATATTTACACATGCGCCTATCAGCACATTGACGTCCACCTATATGCCAAGAAGAGACTGAACATTCACCTGTCCTGGGAAGAACAAATGGGCAAGGTGCAAAGCAGCCTGGCATAATCTTGGGATGTTCTTATAATTAGGATGATGTCGGGCAACCAGTCCACTGCAAATATTCGTTCAGTCTTTATTGGAAGTGATATGGACAGATTTGTCTGGAAAAGAGAGAACTGCTTGGGTTTTGTATTCTGTTTGAAATAAAGATGGAAACTACTCGCTGGTAACACATTACCAGATCTGATGATGCTCTGGCATCAAGTAGAAGGAGTTTGTGCTTGCACGTCACTGTTGAGTATTACCCTAACCCCCTGTGGTGCATGTAAAATCATACTGAAATCTGAGGATTCGGGAATGTTAGGGACAGCTATAAGAAAAACAAATCAAAAGTTACAAGACCCAAACTAACCACTTGGGTCATGCACGTTGTATAATTTGAATGTCATATTAACAGGCCTACTCTGCATACATGTACATGTATCAGGCCTGACCTTATCCTCATGTATTCACAACTTAGAGGCTTTCAGACTTTATCCTGTCTTACCCCGTCGAGACAGAATCTGTATGAATTACTAATCCATTGGATTGCTTAAAAAAAGTCCCAAATCCTCGGATTTCAATATAATTTTACATGCCCCCTAGGGGGTTAGGGAACCTTAGATCTTTTTCAGTAGGGCAGGGTACCTGTACTTGTACATGTACAGTAGGTGGGCTACACGTTGGTACTCACATAGTGTGCTGTGCGGTTGAATCTTTGATAACTACATGTACATGTAGAAAGGAAAGGGATATAGACGAAAATTGCCAGTATGTGGTGATGATGATGTCTTCAGGTGCCAAGTCACATGACCTTAAAGGTGCACTCTTTAAAGCCCTATATCTCCTGAAGTATACGTCCCATCGGGTTGAAACTTTGCAGATACATGTAGCTGGAAAAGGAAGGGTTTAGACCAAAATTGACGTCATGTGATGGGGATCTCATCAAGTGACAAGTCACATGACATTAAAGGTGCAATGTTTGAAGCCCTATACTGTATCTCCCGGATGTACAATTGAATTGAATCTTTGCAGATACTTTGCTGGAAAGAGAAGTGTTATGGATGAAAATAATATGAAATTTCATGCCCATTCTTTAAAGCCTTAATCTTTTTCATTAAAAAACTCAAAAAGGGGAAAAGCCTTACGCTCTGTTCTCAAACAGGCATAAACTTCTCATTCTTTCTGGTGCCATTTTTCTACCACACTATTAGTACAAGTACCTACATAGGAGGCACGCTTTTCGTACAAGTACCTGCATAGGAGGCACGCTG